AACGTCACTATTAAAAGTATGAAAAGAAACGGATTTAAGCCTTTCACAGGTATTGACTAAATAGTGAGTGGCACATCAACTGGACAAATCCAGTACAGACAAGATTGACATTGTTTTTAAAAGTGTATCTATGGACTTTATGATTGAATGCATGTTTTGTAAATGTGAAGTCTTTTGCCAATAAAAGAGTAAAAAGTTGTTGTTGTTGTGTTCATTGTGGAAGTATTCTACAACTTTGTAAGGTTTGTGGTTGGTTTTTAATTTATTTTCAGCTACATTTTACTACTAATACGAATTTATATCGGTGTTTTTAAAAAAACATTTTAAATTCGCTGTTTTTCTATCGAAAGATTTCTATTTTATTCATGTTCCACGAGGGCAGTTTAGCGTAGGAATACATTTCTGATTAAATCTTGTCTGGTAATGCGGTCGGTGTCTGCTGTTTAAAATGCTAATTTCAAACAAATGATGATGTGCCATTGCACATCAACGATTGGTCCAGACTGAAGATGATGAACCAATCAACGATTGGTTATTGATTACAAATATGGAATGTATATAGCGGACGTGATTGCCCAACCGTGTCTGGGCCTTCTATCACGTCCGCTTATGTTTCACGTTGGTTGGCAAGTATCGCCCTCTGCTGTCTGAAAAGAGCAATTACACTAATCATTAACCAATCGTTGATGTGCAATGGCACATTCATTGCAGTTACTCCCTTTTGTCAGCAGAGGGCCCAATTTTTGGCCGGAACTTGTTGTTGGCGGAACTAAAACCAAACAACCGACCGCATTACCTAATAAAATGTGTCACTCCGCTACCCTGCCCTTGTGGAACGTGAACAAAATAGATATCTTTCGATAGAAGAAAATCGAATTAAAATAATGTTGAATAATGATAAAACTGATTTGGTTATCGCACATCATCTATCATCTTTCCAAAAAAGTTTATATCTCAACCTTTAATCATTTTGCTACTTTTAAATATCCGTGTCGCTAAAGCAGCTAAGTTCGCTATTGCACAGGTTGAACTTTTAAATCTTGACGACACGACGATTGCCAAACACTTGTAGACGGCAGTCTGTTGTGCTCGAGCACAGAAAAGGTAAAAAAAACAGATGATTTTTGTCCAAATGGAGGAACTGTGCCTAAAATACATAGATGGTCTTTGTGGACTGCCACACTGCCGAACAGCAACAACAACAACAACAATAATGGTATTATTATTAAGGTGTGTAGATTCCGTGTGTGTGTGTATATATATATCTGTATGATATATATGTATAATCTAATATATATTATATATTTAAATATATATACATTATATATATATATATAAATCTGTGTATTGTTTTCCTTTTCTGGGCTTGCTAATTTAATTATTTTATTAAAGTGTGTAGCTTCCCATGTACATATATATATACAGTATATACATCAAGTTAATTTTAATACACAGTGTACAGCTCAACAGAACAGCTTAGCCTGCACTCTATTTAACAGCCAGCTATAGAACCAACCATGACCAATAGTAGTTGTTATAGGCGTGTTCTCATGATGATCAGTTTGCAAAAATGCATATGTTTGGTCAAAATAAAGTTTTATAAGTTTACAACATGCAAAGTAAGTGAGGGCATCAGGAAGTAAAAAAGTTTTTTTTAAATTAACCAAATAATAAATGAATGGTATTGCAAATAAGCAGAAATATATCAGGATAAAGCTATAGGTAGGAACAGAAACATGTATTGCTTCAACATGACTCATTTTAAGTTGGAAGCTAGACCGAAATGAACGATTTTAAACAGTTATTCAGCAAATAAATCAAAGGAACACTATGTTAACCTGGCAGCCATTAGGTTGTCTGCACGATTCGCCCTCCAGTGGCTCAAACGTGCAACTGCATATATAAACAAGTTCCCTACAAAGGGTTGTCTGCTCCATGTGTGGCTGAATATTTAAGGCAACAGGTTATTGCCCTCTTGTGGCTCAAACGTGCAACTTCACTCATTGACGTTTTGGCCGGACCTTGTTGGTTGAGCTGAACCGAACAACCGTTCCTACGCTACACTGCACTCATGGAACATAAATAAAATAGATATCTTATGTGCATTTTACATCCATGCACATACACCATGCAGACAGGTTGCTAAGACAGTGATTACTAAGCACTGTGCTGTGGCACACTAGTGCTGTTAAAGGTCATCAGGTGTACCGAGAAAACCAACTCTTCTGATGTCATATTGTTGCTTTGACACTTTTTTGCTGTTTATGTAATTTAAATCCATATTATGAAGCAAAAAAAAACAAAACACATTATTAATAAATTGCAAGTCTTACACAAAATAGATGTGATTCCGAGCCACAGACCAATTTTAATTAACAATAACATAATTTTCTGCTGGAACGATGTGTACTTTGTGGATAATCAGCTTATTTTAAGTGTGATATTACATCCTTTGTCTGACAGATAGAACCAAGGACAATATGTGCTGGAAGACTGATATTATAATTGTATATAGTCAC